CTTCCACATCATTTATTCTACCTTAGAAGGAAAGCAAACATGAAAATTTCTAAGCCATGAGGAAGAAGTATTTTGTTCTAACCTAAGCTCAACTGATAAAACTCACAGAATTCTTAGTAGCATAAATTTAATTTCATCAAACCCTTTTTTCCTCTTCAGCTAACAAACAGAAGTTACTGCTTCTGCAAACCACAACAACCTATCCGTGCCATCCTCTGAAGCATCTTCTGGCAGGAAAGACAGCGCGAGAGAAGATAACACACTAGCATAAGGGGCCACAGCACTAGACTGCATCTAGAGAGTTCACCTGTGGTAGGAATACTGTAACCATTCCCAATATCTCTGCCTGTCTTTCAGGTCTGAAGCAAGAGCAGAAGACCGTACATACTGGTCCAGCTAAGTGCCAGGCTCCATTCAGAACATGCAGTCACCAACTCAAGCTTCACCATGTCAATGAAGTACAAATACAAAAGAGGTGCCCTTAACTGTGGGGAAATATATGGCAGGCATCATCTGTGGAAGCCTCACATCACATTCATCACAAAAGATATAACTAGTCTACACCTACTTTAACCAAGAATCAGCAATTATTTTATCCTTTTCCCTTTACTTACTTGCACTTTCACATCAACATGATTTTGTTCTGTGGTTTAAACATGATTTATACCCGCAATTTAACTTTGATTAATAGTTTCTAATAACATCAGTCCATTGTCCAAACACTACAAGGAGATATTAAACAAGTTTAGATGGTCTGGGGAATTTGCTTACCAATGTTAAACACAGAATAAGTGGTTGTCATAACCTTGTATTAGATAACTGTTTCAGATAACTGTAATATGCCTGCTCTGAATGAAAAAAAAAATCAGAAACTATAAGACAATATTGCAAAAATTTATATTACTGAAACACATAAGAGGTTACAGGTTATTCCAAAGAACTGTTAGCCAGTTTCAAATTATGTAAGAGCAACACAAGTAAAAATTTTAAGTTTTATGAGTGGTTAATGTCCACAGCTCAACATGAAGCTCTATAGTCTTTGTCCAGACTCTAGTTTGCTTACTAGCTGCAAATGACACCCCCAGGAGCTTACATTAAATTGTTAGTGTTTTGAAAATTCAGACAGCTGGTAATACATATACTCAGACACACACATATTTATTTTTTTTTTTAAATAAATTTAACACCATACCTAATAGGTACACAAGTTGGTTTTGAACCCTGATTCTTAATGGGTACACTTCTCTGTAGAATAAAGAACGCCCTAAAAATGAAGTGTTGAACAGATGGCTTTTTTAAAGTGTCATCTAAATATGTGGCACGTGTGACATGTGCCTTTCCTTGATTTTCCAGACGCTAATTGTTAAATAAGACTTCTGATGTACTCATAAATGCATAGAATTCAATAATCAGTCAAGTATTTAGACACAAAAGATAAGTCAGCAGAATTTTATGGATAGACAAAAATCAACTTACCAAAACTAAAATATCTTCTGCACTAAAAACAGTCAGCACTATGAAAAAAGGTTAGAATAATATAAGTGCTTGTGCACATACACAGACACACAAAGGAAATTCTTTCCATTTCACACCTAAAAGCATAAGTATTTTTTAGAATTACACTTTCCCTTATAAAATCTAAATATTAATAAGCAAATTGTTTATGAGAAATCTATTTTTTCCCCCTTTAACAGGGGATATATTTCTTTGCTCCAGCAGTCTGATTTTTTTTAACATTCCATATTGAATATGCTATTGCCTTTCATTCACCTCTATCTTGAGCTTAGCAGAGCTTCTTATTCCAAGCACTCCTTCCATCATAGTGTCATCAATATTTTGTAACTATATACGCCTGCACACACTGATTCCAAATACAGCAAGCATACATACTCCATACTTGCACATACATTGTTAGGAGACTTTTAGGACCTTATCATGTCAAACCATATTAAAGTGACATCTTTAAGGCTGACATTCCATTTTCTCTAAGCTTGTTTTGAGTAGACATTTAGTAGAAACTTCACCCCATTCGGGATTTTAATCAAGAGAGAAAATTAAGAAAAAGTTAAGTCTGCTATCTAGGAAAAAGATCTATTAGGTCTTGTCTAGACTAGAGAAATGTATTCTTCTAAGAATCAATTTAGTCTTTGCAGTGCACTTGTAAAATGTCACACGTTCACACACAGAAAGCATTGCAGATACTGTTAAAACTAGTTTCATTAACTCTAAATGCTATTTCAGTCAGGCTGCATTAATGCCAGCTAAGTTAAAGGTTTCCTGGCATTGTAGTTCATGCTGATCAAACAGCCTACCCACCACTTTCCCCACAATATAACTCACGGCCCTTTGAAATCTGCCCAACTTCACCATTTCCAAGAACTATGCCAGAAACCTGTGGGATGGGTACCCAAACTGCAGTGCCTTTCACAGTGCACAAGTGAGAACAGAGCAAACCTGTGACAGCTTGGAAAGTTTATCGGCAGTGGACGCTGCAGAGCTTAATTTGATGAGTAAGAAACAATTCAAATTTCTAGCCTAAAGGAAAGCTTACAGCTATGCCAAAGCCTCCAAATTAGAATGAAAATCTAAACTTCAAATTCAGGTTATCTGGGCATAGAACTAGAAGACAGAGAGGAAGGCAGGCTGTGATCCATCTTCTACGGGGAAGGAACAAGATGCCTACAGATCTCTTTCACATCTGTTTTTCTAATGTATGCTTCTAATGTAACACTGACCTTTTGTCAAAACCTCTTTTCCATCAGAAAAAGAAAAATAATAACCTGCTGAAACACAAGAAAACCCTATTTCAGATTTTTGGTTTGCATCAGATGTTCATTTGCTTTCTGAAATACTGTATCATCACATACAGAAATTGTCATATTTTGCTCATAAAAAAAGTCCTAATGCTATAGCAGTAGCTGAAAGTCTGAAAGGATGGCTGACATTCAGTATTGACATACCATGTATGTTGCAATGAAAGACTGACACACTTTTAAAAAAATTAATAGATCACTTCCATTATGTCAGAGCACAATCATCAGGATAGCAGGATCACAACACTCATCTCTCCCTATGTCATGAAAGAGCATAAAACCAAAACACGGCATCACAAAGTCTTCAAATTTGTTTGAAATACATTTTAGAGGAAGGAAATTGAATGTGAAAGTATTAAGTTCTGTCAGGCCAATGAAAACAACCAAGTATCTTGCACTGTAACACCATCCCACTGTGTATTAACGTGCATTGAGTGCAGCTTAAGGTATGAAAATGTTAAGAGTGAATTACTCTCCTGTTATCCTACACTTTTCTTGGCGCTAGGCTTGATATTACAATTGATTCTCAAATTGATTTTGCATGCTGGGTTTGTGTGGCTGGGTCTTTGGTAGCACAGGAGCAGGCTATAGCAGTGGCTCCTCTGAGAAGGTTCTTGAAGCTCCCCCAGCTCCAAGTCAGACCCACCTCTGGCCAAGGCCAAAACAATTAGTGACAATGGCTGTGCCTCTGCAATAATGTATTTATGACGGGAAACCTGAGAGCTGGAGGTAATTGGAGGAGGCATTATGAGGAGGACACCTGTGCGAACACAGGAGGAAAGGAGGGAGGTGCAAAAGAACAGGGAGCCTCCCTTGTATCCTGTGGTGAGACGGCAGGGCCACCCCCCTGCCACCAACGGAGGTCACCAGAGGAGCAGAGATGTGCTTGAAGCCTGTGGAGGACCCCTGGTACTCTGTGGGAAGAAACAGCTCCTGCTCTTGTAGTTTGGCATTGGGAGGTGGGGTGACCTACACCAGAGCATCTTGAGAAGATGCATTCCATGGGGAGGACTCACAGCAGAGAGTTTGTGGAGGACTGTCTCCCATGAGAGGGACACCACGTGGAGCAAGGGGGAGAATGCAGAGGAGTGCTTCCCCCCACATTGGGGAAAGAAGTAGCAGACTGCTTGCACCCCTCTCCCCTGCCTCTGTGCAACTGTGGGAGGAGGTATAGATAAGGGGCTTCTCACTGTCCCAGTCTCCCTGTTAAGTGTTGATTTTGTTAGTGTCTGATTTAAAGTGATGTTCTTGGTTTTTTCTTCCCCTCATGAGTCTGTCTTTTGCCTGTGACTGTTTAAATGGGCAAGAGACCCCTCCCTGTCCTCATCTCCGGATCTGAGACTTTTCTGTTTAATTTTTCTCAGCTGGGTGGAAAGGAGGGAGTGAAACCCCTCCTGGTGCTCAGCTGCTCTCTGGGCCTAAAACACAACACTTTATAGACATGAAACTCTTTGGTTCCTAGCCCTTTAAAAAGTAGCTAGTTCTGATATGAACTTTTACAAGCAAGAAAGAACTACTGCCCATTACCCACAAATCCAGACAGGAAAACTCTAGAAGTCTCACTTGCCTTGAAATTCAATTGAGATCCCAAAGGGGAATAACAAAGTTTAACAAATTCTAGGGGAAATATATCTAATACTAATAGACTACTGTTAACTCACAGCTTATCAACGCTTTGCATATTCAATACTAAATGACTGACAAAATGTGGGAGATGAGCAGGAAAAAATAAATACTGTGTGTGTTCACCTTGATTCATAGGTGAGCATTCTCACTAGACAAGAATTCTATGTGCTGCACCCATGATTTGCATCGTGACAGGTTACTGCACTACTTTCTGGATATCTCTACATTACAGACACAAAAGGCATTCTCTGAACACATCAACTATGGGCCCATCCATAGCACTGGGTCATTGACAGGGCTAGGATCAAGGTGGGCAAGGCAAACAGTACTGAGGGCAAAGGGGAGGAATGAGCAAATCAGGATCCAGTGCATCTCTCCAATGCGTTCAGCACAGCTTAGACTGCAGAGACGGTGGATGGGTCATGGCTTATATTTAATACTTCGCAGAGATATGAGGAAGTCCCAAAGATATACATCCAGAGGCATGATGTTGACAGAATGTCTGGAGTAGAAACTCCAAGAGGTCACCTTTAGATATCTTCATGTGATATTACAGCATACCTGCTGTCCACAAAGGAGAGGACTGCTTATCCTCATCCATGCAGCTGCCCAAAGAAACTCTAGGAAGTCTTATGCAGAACTCCTCATGTAGGCTTCACTAAAAAGAGGTGACAAGAAAAGCCATTATGTGGCTTCAAAAAAGTCTCTTGAAACTTCCTGTTCCCTCCTACACTCATACTTCTCCTGACTAAAAACCTTCTTCACTCCAGTGACAAACAGCCAACTTTAACAAACTAGATGTTAAACCCCCAGACATCCAAAATATAAATAAGTGACACAAATATGTTGATTTACACATTTGCCTTATCGAACCAACCTATAGCAAAGACACAACATAACCCTTTCAAGCAAACATCCAGCACTGAATTACAGGCACACATTAGGCAACACACTTCAAAGACAGACTAATTGTTTTCCAGGAACATTCAGAGAATGTGCCTGCCATACTGTCTTTCCTACAGAATGAAGTTTCACATCATCTAGAAAGTAGATCTAAAGAGTTAAGAAGAGTTTATGTACAATCTCATATATTCTTTGTGTGTCTTATAAACTTCTGGCAGATTTACTAATCTTCCGTAAGTCTCCATATTTCACAAGTCCTATTAAAATTCTTGACATTGAAAGAAAAACAAAAAAAGTAGAATACCTTAAGCAATTAAGTATTATAAAAAGATAAGACAATGAACCACCCTTTATTACAGCTCACAAACACATACTGGGTTGGTCTTGAGGCCAAAAGATTTACTGGAGACAAAATACCACCGATTCAGCATGCCCACAATAATTTTATGTCAAAACTGTGAACTACAAAGCAAAGCTCCTTCCATGCAAGAGCTACCCGTACTTCATCTATTTTTAACCAGCCTTTAATCATAGCATATACATGCATTTAAGTTTGACCTTTGGGGACTTTCCGTAACACCAACCAGAAGTTTTGTGATGTAGCTTTGCAAAGATGAACTTTGAGACAACTGCCATATGCAAGAACAAACAAATCCCAATTAGTATACATTACTGTTCTGACTTTGCTAAGCTCCCTGACCTTTCAGTCATACAATTCTTCTCAACTTTGTACCATTTCAGCAAGATTTCTAGCATATTCTAATCCTGAAGTCAAGCAGTTCCCAACATTCATGCAACATGCATCCAAGTGAAAGAGACATTTCTCTCACCTTGTCCTCTCTTCTCCTTTGAGATGAGGAATGTCTATTGCTCTAAACCCTTCTCCCTAAACATTAAATAGAAGGAAGAGCTATTTAAGCAAAACACTGGCACAAGAACAAGCACGTTTAACCTAGCTGTTATTGTAGCTAGCATGGAAATCAAAAGGTGTTGAAAAAACATTAGAGGATCTTTTAAAACACTGATCCTTCATAAAAATGGCACAGCGGAGAGATGTAACAAGTGAAGCAAAGCAGATATTTACAGCTTTATGAACAGAAATATGTTATGAGAATTGTTCAAGAGCACCAGAAGGTTCCTGATGGTCATCTGTCCCCTGCAGATGAGCAAGGAGAATCTCCAATGTGTTCACTGTTCAGTCAGAAAAATACAATTACATTGTTGTTAAAGTCTTCGGACTGTCCTGTGGCTGTTTCCAGAACAAGGAGTGTAATATACAGCATGAACCTTGCCAACATGAGACAAGTTCAATATAAACAGTTTTTAAAATCAACTATGATTCACAGGTGATGCAGAGATCCCCAGACATCACAGCAGATGTACCTAAGGCAGCGTACCAAGATAGCTTTCTGAGGAAACCAAGAGGCTTTTCAGGGTAACCAAATCTAGTCTCACATTACAAGTGATAGTACTATGCAGTTCTTTCCACAGTCAAACTGTCCTGAAGGTAAGCTTATATTACTTGCTTCCATAACTTCTCTCTGCAGATAATTAGAAACACATTTTTAATTTTTAATTTCGCTCTATTCACATGACATATTCAGGAGATTTATTGGCAGGTTAAATATGGTTATCTGCATCGAAACACAGCAGCAAGGCCTCACAGGACTTGTCCAGTTACCTGAAAATGACAGCTGAACATCAAGAGCTGTGCTCACTCGAGTCTTACTCTGCACTGTTAAGAGATGATGAGTAACATCTTTAAAAGCATTGAAGGATCTTTCATCAATGTCAATAACGATATTTATAGCAACCAAAAAGTTCTCTCTGAAGATAATGAAAGATGAAGAAATCCACACAAGCATCTGAGCAGTGTAACTGGAAGAGTTCATGTACTAGAAAGGCTGTTTTAAGTGCTCTGCTCACATTTTTATATAATTACTGAAGTTTTACTCTGAAGAAACTACATGAAAGCCACACCCTCTTACTTCAGTATCCTATTCGCTAGATGTAAACAAAATTGGATCTGACAATTACTGTGACCACAATACATTTTATTTACCACTTCTTTTGTTTTTGCATTTTGAAACCTGAGCCATATTCTACTCCTCCTCTTGATGCTTCATAAAAATTTTCAAGGTGTCATAGCTTAATGTGCACAAACCTGCTGAAAACAACATCTACAAGAGGATTACTTAATGCCCAAACCGCACTCAAAAACTTAATTTACAGGACTTCAGCAGACAGCAAGGTGCCACTTCACTGTCAAATTCCAAGCTGAGTTTACAGAACTACTAGGCGGGGAAAAAAAATTCGCTTTTACTAACAAGGACTTAAAATATGCAGAAGTCAAATGACAGACCTTCAAAATGGCGTCACTGTTCAGAAATCTGAAAATGCCAAGTACTAGGTGGTTTTATTTATCAAAACATGTGCTACACTGGCCAGAAATGAAACTGTACTGGGATACTAAGAATCTTGGCTGACTGCAAACTGCTGAAAGAAAAGACGCATTGCTAGATCAATCCTATCTGAACCTTGCTGGAGGTAGATGAATCCAGAAGCAATAGTCTTGGCCTGGCAATTAAATTTAAACATAATAATTATCTGGTAGGCTTAAAATCATAGTTTAGAATGCCATCACAGCATGCTGACTATTCCCTTGCTGCACCTGCACTGGCACCAGGCAGGACGCAATGACTGTAAACAACACTACTCTGATTTCCTGGTTCCTTCAGCCAGAAGGGTTTGAGAAAGTTTTGATAGCCACGATCGTTTTATTCCATTTTATTCTCAATACTTGGGATATACATCCTTCATCTGGATCATTTTTAAATCACTTCAGTACTTAAACTGTCACACTTGATGCATAATCTGACACCACAGAGTCATAGTTTTAATATTTCAGTTCTATTACTTTCAATTCTGTACCAGTTAATCATATTTTATTTAAAGGTAAAATGTTAATCTTCTGATGTTAAAAATCATCATACTTTACCTTTTTATGGCTGCATATTAAAATAAGGATACTTGCCAATTACATAGAGCCTTCTTTTCAGGATTCAAATGAGAAGTTGACAAGAGGTCAGCTCTGAAAATCTGTAGTACAACAGTATGCTCTGCATGCCAGAGGTGCTCCCTTTAAATTTCCCAGTACTTTGTAGCTGAAATTGCTACCCCACTTTGGTGAATCCTATTTTAATCCTAAGTAAAAGGTTACCAAGAAGCACCTTGCTTCAAATTGTTTCCTATAAAGCATGCACTATTGCAAGCTTCAAACTGTAATAGAAATACTTCAAAAAGCCAAATTTTGTTGTTTTAATACTGCTACTTCTTGTGACTTAAAATATAGTTCTACACACCACCAGAATGAGGTCTTAGACTGCAAGCATTTCCCAGCAGGGATTTCTGTCTCTCTACTTGCCTGCAAAGCAACTAGCAAATTGTTAATCATCTATAATTAAAGACACCATAAGCCCAGAACCCATCAGAGTATATCTCTAGTTTGCTTATGTGGCCCTTTATGCATAAAATATGCCTCTTCATTTCAGTCCAAGTACTCTTTTCCATTGTGTTCCTCCTTCAAACCTTCTTCTATGACACGCCCAAGAAGAAAGGCATTTTTTAAACATTTATTTTTATATAGAAAATGCAATGAAAATGACAAATCTGTGTGACGTACTTCTCAGTTGTTTGCTTGACCCTAACATTTTTGGTTCTATTTAAGATTTTCACAGATATACAATGTTTGCATTGCTCAAGGCTGAGGGTGTCTGTGAAATGCCATAGCTAAGCAACATGCATGCATTTAGCCTTTCACATCACATAAAGGCCGGCAAGCAGTTCCCCCAAATTTTAAACAGGCAAGTAGAAGAGAAAACAGCAGTTGTCCAATGCCATATAAGGTAAATCAGTAAAAGCACAGAACTGAGCTGGAGATTCACTAGGTTTCCATGCTCATTCACACAGGTCATGTCATAAGCTACATACTATATGTCTTGATATATGATTTTTCCTGTGATTGCAACTGCATAGTGCAAGTTGCAGTCATCTGCTCTACCTTTAGCACTTCACTTACAACTGTAAGCAAGACACTCTAAGATAAACTTCATACACAACAACAAGTTACATATTAATTTCCTTTTAAAATGGAAGAAAAGCAGTGTGGTTTTGGTGGTGGTGGTGATTTATTTATTTTTATTCCATTATTTCCACATTCAGAACTGCAATTACTGGCACTATCTCTTCAGTTTTGATGCTCTGCTTCCACTGTTAACTTCAGTATAAGTATCAAAAGCAACACTGATCATACAACAACCACGATCTCCACTTAGTGAGGCCTCATATACCTCTGCCTGCCTGCAAGATTACAAAACAAATCTATTTTAAATGTAAATCTAAAAACCTTACAATGTACACTTCCAAATGCACTTCTTCTGACAAGCACCAAGTCTAATAACTGAAGCTGCTCCCTCCCTGAACCTTCTCCACAGCAATGCTCTGCTACCAGGAACACCAGTCCATGGACCACTGCTTAGACAGGCAACTTGCTATATAAGGCCCCATGCCTCAAGGTTACAATCTTTATTTTAACACATCATTGCACTGAATTTCAGAAGACCCTTCTTTATGTAGAGGATAGTCTCCCACCCTTCATAAAGAAGGTAACTGTTACAACAGTTGGAAGTGACTAGTAGGGGTGAAAGCTAAGTTTCATTTCTCACAGATTCTTTAGAATGAAACAAACTGTATCTAAAAAGTGCAGATATGCTTTTTTATTTCTTTTGCAATTCAGGGGAGGGAGGAGGGAAAAGCATCTCTGATTTGTATATTAAAGCACAAGCATCTGTCCTACTGATGATATTCTAGGGAAGCACATTAGCATAAAATTTAACGATGTCAAATAAGTGGATGTGAAATAGGGACTGCGTAAAGACACTATTTCCAAGCCTGACAGAAACATCACTGTTTAGAAATGCAAATGAAACCATTATGTTCAATAATTATATGAAAATATGAACAGTTCAGCATGTTTTCCAGCCCTGATGGCGGTTAATGGGATGTACGCTTATGTAAATAACTACTATTAAAGCTAATGCTGAAAAAAACTAATAAATTCATACTAAAGCAACTGATTTAGTACGCTTTTAAACCCCAGCAGTGCTCACTTATTAGAAAGGAGTGCATTCTTATGTTTAGAACTCATTACTGTTACAAGTCACTGCAACTCCATCAATTACCATGCATTAATGAAAATGGGACACATACAAAAAAAATTATTGCCTCTCAGCAGTTTTCTTTAAAGACAAAATATAGGGGTATTACCATCATGGGGCCTTGAGGGGAACTTATCAGCAACATAATCTTTATTACTACAACTGTATTCCCTGTGCTATAACCCTGGGGTATTTTTTGTCCCAAGAAGGGGCTAAACTTTACGTAAAACTCTTTACATATATGCAATGAAAGTGACCGTACTGCCATCAGTAAAAACTTGCCATTTTCACAATTAAAAATGCATTTAAATAAACATACACACTAGTATGTGAACTGGAAAATGTAGACGTGAAAAACCCAATTCTTGAAACTAGATCAAGGAGATATAATGCAAATAGAATTAACAATAAAAGGTACAAATGGAATTCTTCTATGAAGTTCTTGTATCTGGATAAATTCCATCCAGTTTAACACACTTTTAATGACCTCCCAGAGAGCAATGGAATTAAGACTTCAAGGACGCTATTCTTTCCTCTTTGGATGTTTTCTCCAATTCATCAGGATTACTCAAAAACTTCTTAGCCCTGGTTAAACATCAAAATTGATAGAGGAAACAAAACCAATACATTATATCAGTAAATCCCTACAGAAATTAAAAGCTGAGATTTATTGAATGTCTGTAACTCTACAACTAACTCACTTTCATTTTCTAACCAGTCTCTGAAAATGAGATATTAACGTAACATCCACTAGATCCTAAGAAGTTTATCAAGGCTGAAAATGCTTTTATATTTGTTTGCATTGACTGGCAGTTTAAAATTGAGGATGGGTTTAAACTGCCTTTCAAGACAAAGAACTATGGACAAAAAACTGATACCAGATGGAGAAGGGTCACATAGGACAGTTATCTGTCCAGCCTCAGTTTCTGTAAAACTTCAGTCCAAGATGGCATTCTGCTATT